GGGGGAGTTGATGATGACGACAACGACGATCAGGCTGGGACACCGAAGCATCATTCCTGGATTAGAATAGACCACAGCAACAGTTGATTATGCTTCTTTCTTAATGGCGTGAACCCCCACAGTCATGGGCTCCGACTCCCATACCCGTGACCCCATCGCCACGCCGCCCCTCCTTTCTCTCCCTTCACAACTCACTTCAGCTCCTCTTCATAATTTCTTTTTATATTCAAAGTCTGTTTAAAATTTAATTTCGCTTTTGTATAACATAAAACACACATGTACCTATGCACAACAGCTCTTGAATTATAACTTCGAAATTCCTTGAATAATTTAAGTGATCAATACTATCCTTACACAATTATTGATGATGCAAAAGTAAACAGGTAATCTGCATTTAGAGATTTTAAAATATCTGAAATCTGTTTAAATCTGATACACTCAAAAGATAAAATCTTAAGAGTACAATACATATATATATAAATATATATATATATATATATATACACACACACATACAATTTTTTCATATTATACACACACGTATACACCACATCTTAATGACATAATTTAACTTTTAAATTTGTAATATATAAATAATAACATTCTAATCACAAAAATTGTAATTTTTGGATACAAATATTAGAATAAGGGTATTGAAGTTTTTTAAAAGAGTATACTTGAGACAAAAACCAATATTCACTTTTAACTTGGTACATAACCAACCCTAAGAAAAATTACAGTATATTGATAATATGTTATAAATAACATGTTAAATATCAAAATGTTTGGTAACTTTAATTTTATATCAAACTAGCTAATTTGTATTAACCACTTGTTGAGCGTTCAATTTTAATATTTCAATGTCTAATTAACTTAAATTCATTATAGAAATTGTACTGCTTATAATAATAAAAAAACAAATATTTAAAATATTTTTTGAGCTTTTGATTATTTTATAAATATCATATATGCATTCATACATCAGCATGAGCTTACTAAACTTTTAACTCTAAAGTTCTTATATGTATATAAACATACATATATATATATATATATAAAAGAAAGTATCATGAAAAAATTTATTTTTAATGTATAAAAATAAATAAAATTAATGAATAAAAAATAATTATTTACTTATTCTAATCTTTATTTTATAAACAGAGAATATTGACTTAATAATTAATTTCAATAAAATATTTGTTGGTATATTATTCTGATCATGTACATGGAGAGAAAAATAATCAAAGTCATAACAATAAAATAGTATAATTAACAATTTGAATTGTACTCTATAAAAGTGAAGTTGGAGGCAGAAGTAATTACAATTATAAAATTACCTTTACCAAAGAATTGGTTGACTTAAACATTATCATTTAAATTAAACACCATACATAAAATTAGCAATTTATGCATCTGAATAAGTATATATAAATATATATATATATATATATATATATAAAATTAAGAATTAATATCTTAAAATTGCAATTATAAATCTATATTTTAAACTATTCTATAATAAAACTTAATGATTTAAACACAAAAGTAATTACTGAGTCCAAATTGAATATTTGCAATATCTGATTGAATTAATGTCTATTTTAAATTTTGGTATTAGTTTTTAATTATGTCTTTGAATTTTTTTACATACAAGTATATATATATATATATATATATATGTGTGTGTGTGTGTGTGTGTGTGTAGTATTTCTTTCATTAATTAATATACTAAAAACTAATTATTTCCAATAATTAACTAAACTTTTTGGAATTAATCTTATTATATGGTGTATGGTTAGTAACATATTATTTCAAACAACTAATTAAATTTTATTGGCTTATACCAACTAATAGAGGTAATTAATAGTGACCAAATTGCTTGCAAAGCCACATGGCTATATGTGATTGAGTATGGCAAGGCCATGTGGCCAGTATTGCCATGTTAATGCTGTATTGGGAGTAATGAAATCCAACCTTATTCATCATGATTACTATATTTTTCATCATGGGTGGGTCAGTTTATTAAAAACTTGGGTCTATTTAATAGTCTCTTAAATAAATAAATAAATGTGTATATGTATTCTTTATAATATGCTAAAATCAAAATAATATTAATTACAGAAGTATGCCAATTATTAATAATAAAGTTAAATCATAGTAAATTTCAAGACAAATTAGTTATAAAAGAAATAATAATATTCTAAAATTTATATATTTTATATTATTCGAGTAATTTTTGAAAGATATAAATAGAATATTTGTATTACCAATAATATATGTTAAGATTATGTGAATATTTGTTATTATGTGTTTTCTGAATAACTAAAATTAAAATATGGATGCATATTATAAACAAATAAATAAATTGAAGTAAAAAAATAACTATTATCTTCTTTTTTAATTAAATAATTAATACTATGTATTTTTAAAAATTGAGCATATATTTATACTGTAAAAATATTAATTATTTTTAAAATTTTACTTAAATAATTAAATTTAAAGTGTAGAAATATTTGAATGGTAGCCTTTGGTTCATACTTTTGACTTTAGTGTATATTATTATTTTTATGAAATTAAATCAAATAAAATTAAGTAAAAATCACATAAAATAGAAAATTAAAAGATATTATAAATATTAAATAAATAATATAAAAATATTTATTTGATAGTACAAAAAAAATTCCACAAAATATCAATTATATATTTTCAATATTTAATAATCATTCACTAAGAATCTAAATACCAATAACTACCAAATTGGAAAAAAGTTATTAATTTATATTAAGAACTTATTATACAATTTAGTATTTAAATTTTTTAAAAAACAATTATTTAATTTCTTTGTTTTCATGTTTTAAATTCCTATACCTTCTAATTATATTATACCAATAATATGTTGCATAATAATAGCTCTAAACAAATAATATGAAAAGAGTTAAAAGAATCTTAAAATAGCTTAATTAATGGATTTAATAAGAATATATAATTTTAAAGAATATTTATAGTTTTACTAGTATTAATATTTGTTAGTAAATATACATTATATAATTTGTATAAGAAAAAAATTAATAAATATTAGTATATACATTTGCAAGTTTAAAGAATGTTATTGATCTTTAAGTTTATGTTTGTTAAATTACATTCATGCGATGTATCTTTATTAGGATTTCTAATTCAGTCTAATAAAATTGAAGTAAAACTAGGAATATCAAGTTGTTGAGGCGTTTGTTTGTTTTTGTTTAAAAAAGTGACCCAATTATGTAAAATGCCACTACATCCTAGACACTAGTCACATGATGGAGTTGAATAAAGTGTCTAGAAACCACACGAATGTCCAAAGACCCATGGAAGCTAAAAACCACCAAAATAACAGTCCCCACCTTCACTCACTGTTACCCACCAATTACTGAAAGGTCAAAAGCCAAAACGGCCCAATGACAACTGAATCAGTGATCAGAGATTAAAGAAATAAGACTTTATTTACTTCGTAATCCGACACTCATCAAAGCCACTGGCCCGGTCTTTACCCCCTTTTCCAAGGACCAGGACTCGAGGCCACAGGCCAGGAATGGGCGCCAAGAAGGCGAAACGTCGCAAGCTGGAGTGGCGCCATCCGAACGGACAGTTCCGTCCAACAGGCCGACGACCGTTGCTAGGCTCGGACGGACGGACAGTGTCGGACGGACCGAGTACACTGGATGAATGCAATCCAGCGAAGGGTTGGCGTGTCGGCACTTTGGAGGGTCAGAGGGTGGATGCTGCCACCCCGTCCGGCGGGGGCGGGGCGGGGCCGGGCCGGCGGGGTAAAGCGGGCCGGCGAGGCGGATATGAAGGAGATGGAAGAAGGAGGCGGTACCGAAGAAGGAGGGCCAAGAAGATCAAACGTCGGCCCACTTGTGCAGGCTGCTACTGCAGCTTCAGTGCCAAGGATTCGCTCGATATGGGGAGAGATAGTGCGCGTAACGCCTCGACTTCCGTTAGGGTTTACTCTCTTGTTCGGGGGGACGTTTCTGGAGCTTGGTTTTATTTTTGAAATGGAGCTCCACTTTGCTTTTTTCCAGCCTTTTGTTTTTTCCGGTGCGCCGAATCTGGGCGACCATTGTGGGCTACAGCCTTTAACGGCGAACCTTGCCATTGTTTATTGAAACGGTGGCTGTTATTCCAGCAATACGTGTGGTTTGTTCCTTGAATGTTTGACAAAGGCGCCGTGTTCACCGCAGTTGTGTTGCCAGGGTACCGATGTGTTCACGACAGTTACGCGGCTTTTGCGTAGTTAGTTTTGAAACATGCTGTTGAGAGATTCGAATTTAAAGAGTATTTTAAGTTGAGGTCTTGAAAAGCGTAGGTGATGCAGGTTTCGGGTTTTGCGACAAGATAAAAAAAACAAAAAAGAATCTCATGAATTAATTTTGGTGAAATAACGGAGATGATAGCAACTATTGTCTGATTGAAGTTATTCTAGAAATTATGTACAATCATCAATAGTTTTATGTTGAAAATAAGTCATTTGTACATACGTAACTCTTAGCTCACCAACATGAATAGCAAGAAGTTCAAAGTTGTTGCACATGACATTATATCACTGCTCAAAATCCCCAGGACAAGAAATTCAAAAATGCATGATATGAAATGAAAGTGGCATGTGCATGACCATTTCTTCACAGATTTATTTTCACAAATCAAAACTCACATAGTAGTAAAATGCATCTTTTTCTGTTTTTTCCTTCTTTTATTTATTTATTATATGTATATGCAAATAAATAAGTAAATAAAGTGCATTGTTTATCTTCTCCCACAATGAGTTCAATGTCCCAAAGGGCCCATACCTTTGGTTGAGAACCTTTGGTTTGTACTGAAAGGCATTGAGTAAAACTTGCTCTTAGAAGCATCACATCACAAAGACAGAACATGATGTGATGGTGGGGCAACTGGGTTAGGTGCTTGGTCTGTTCATTGAATGTGATGCTTCACCAGGAGGGCAGTGCAAAAAGATTAGGAAACACAAAGCATTCATCTTCATCTGAAAACCTATGTTTGATGAAAGGGTCTTCATCTTCAGGGGATTGATTTTTCTTTTCTCTCTGTATCTCATTGACATTCATCCAATTTACACATTTCATATAACTGTTTTAATGGGCAGAAATTGAGTTATTATTGATTGTGAGCAAGTTGGAGTCCATTCTCGAAAACTTGAGACAGAGCCCCATGTCTTACTTTTATTCAGTTGTTTGTTTCCACCTTCACAAGAGCTTGTTTTATTACACAACCAACAAGCTCAACTCAAAACAAAGTCCAATCCTCGTGTATTTGTATATACATATAAGATTGTTAGATAGGTAGAACTGAAAAATAGTTGCTTCGTCTCTGGACTTTACTAGACACTTCAGAATGCCGGCAGTGTACATACAGCTGTATGAATCTGCTGTGACAATGAACACCTTCAAGTTCTTTATCAAAAATCTCACCGAGCCTGCATTTGGTAGGCTTGTAGCTGTTCCATGAACAGCTGTCCTGTAGGCCAGTTACATATAGTGGGGTAAGTCCATCTCAAGATTATTCCTGCCAAGGCTACGACTTGTGAAGAGTTGCACTAGAACTTAATAGTTCCCTGACTTGGCTGCTTCAGACAGACGCACCTGTTAGTTGGTTCTGTAGTATATGATTGCATTCAGACATGGCAGGTTTTCGGTTTGGACATCCTGTAGCACATTGATTACTTGCGGCTTACAATGGGATTCTCTGATTCAGTCCCCAGCTGACACCTTGCTAATATACTCATACCATTGGATTAATTTGCTTCATTGGAAGTTTCTTGTTGTTTTCATGTCCATCTCCGTTGCTCCAAGTCAATCATGTCTTTCATTATAAGGAGTATTGAACATCAACAAAAAGGATTGAAACGCCTTCCACAGTGAAAAGAGCAATGAACATCTCCTACGAAATTATAGTGCAGTTGTGTGCTTTTCGTAAAGGAAAATCAAGAAAGTACACCATGAGAAAAACAGCATCAAATGACAACAATGCACATTAAATGCTATGTGACTCTTTGCATCTCCGATATAGAGGGAAAACCTACTCAATTCAAATACAATAAAAGAAAACATGAGAAGTAGTGTTAGTACTTAATGGTTCGATGTCCCAAGAAACATGAATAGTATTCTCAGATCCATACATCTATAACAGCAAGCTCGTGTGAAATTGCTCATACTGTTCCTATGCTTGTCACGCTCATCACCTATGCCCAGCTGTCTTGTCCTACAAAAAGTAATTCCAGGGAAGTCAAAATAAAAAACGGACGCAGGAGCAATATTCATAAACATTGTAATGCCCAAAAGATCCCCCAAAAAGGATAGTTCCAAGGCGTGTTCCAGTCTAAGCAGACAAACTGGTTGAAGCCATCATGGCTACCCCTGCAAAGGCTACAAGCTGGAATCTGGAACAGCACCACCCTATTCACTCTTTTATTCACAAAAACCACAAACTCTGTAGGTAGATGAGGAAACTCTCTTAAACCTTGATCAGGAAAGGATTTGGAAGATCTACTTGGACTTCGGGAATTGAGAATTGGAAAGAGGAATACTGAAGAAGCTTGGCTATGGCGGTAGAGAACAAAGTTGTGAGAAGAGACCATGTACATACGTGACAAATATCCTATAAAATGTGAATATGTGCAGATTTTATTGAGATATTAGCTTGTTTACTAGTCAATTCATCACGCCAACTTCAGCACGACAAGTGCCAAACCAACAACAGTGTCGTGTCCCAACTATTTGGATTCTTACATGATATCATTTAGTAAAGAACTGCCTTACTGATCACCAAATGATGGTGGAACTTGGAATGGCTTTTGAAAATTCTTTAAGGGTGTAGCCTCACGTATTTTAACCGATTGCCAGTGCCCTTGAACTCAGACCAAATGATATTAAAGCTTCGAAGTATTAATGACATGCAAGGCATTTGTATATTATCTCAAACAAGGAACAGGTGAAAGTACCAATTGTTCCAAGGGAATCCAGTCGAAAGTCGAGCATGCATATCTGGAAACTTGCAGATAATTATCACAACAATAAAACTTTCATTACTTTGTTACGACTTTTCGGAAGCAACCACCTGTCTAAGACGGTGTAAAGGGAACCAGAATCTAGTGCATAGCATATTATATTTCAAAGTATTCAGGTAAACATCCTCGTCTTCTGACATTGTTGATATCAGGAACTACGTTTAGTATTCAACTTTGCACGTTTCAATCTCCTGCTACGCAATCTCTATGAAACTCACGTGATGAGGAGATTACTGGCAAACGATCACAGCCAAACAATACACACAATATTCCAAGTTGCACAGTACATTATTACCACTGCATCGAAGAATACCTGGCAAACCTATCAGAAGCATACATGCAGAATGTTTTGATAAGTTCTTGCGCAGAAAATCCACTTAATGCTTCTCCTCTTTCATGGCTACCTTTTTCAGACGTTCCTGCTTCGACCTCCCGTGCTTTTACGTGTCTGCACGGACTTGGAAACTTCGGACCTCGGTAAACAACTACAGGACCTAGGGCCAGCTAAGCGGGTTGATCGAAAAAGAGGCAAAAGAATCACACAATCGAAAGGACGCATGATGATCAATAATCTCAGCGACATAAAGCCCTAAATAAAGTAACACGCATGAAAATTGCAATGCCAATGATAACAACAGCAAATTAAGCCGAACGATGTGTATTCGAGCGCAGAACCAGAAGAGGCTTGTTCCTGTAGACTAATGTGGAGCTTTTCCGTAGACTTGCAAGAGCGGGGAACGAGCGTTCAAATGTAGCGTTCTTCATGGTTCTCAACATTGAGTTCGAGCACTGAGTTGGCGATTTCGCACCCTTCATTCTAGTGCTGCTACATGAGTGCATCACAGATTGTGATACGGTACATGAGCCTGTTGGGTTCAATTTTATCTTTTCTTGGTGAAGTGAATGACCAAATATGTCGAAAACTAACCACATTTGATGAGGCACTGCTGCCTTCATTGGGGTGCTCAGTACTTAGGGGGATCTCATGAAGAACTCTGACCTAGAGGAATCAGCATGAAAGAACATGAATGATACTGATTAGTGTATTGGAATTTAGTCAAAATCGTGGCATACGATCCACTTTGGAGTATGAACACATATGCTCAATTAAATAGCACGCAACGAGAAGGGAGTTGTGCATACATTTCCATGCCAGGTGTCCATCATACAGCATTGTGCAGACTTAACATTAAAGACACAATTCTTGTACACCAATCTGCAGAAGAGTATCTGTGCTTCGCAAAGAGCTGAAGCTCCCAAACTCTGTAGAGAGACAGTCCAGAGTTGCAAAATCTCAACAAGCCATTAATGCTGTGTTGGATTATTCAATTGTATGAGAAAACTAGGTACATTTTGAAACATAAAACCCTCATGCTGTAGAGGGAAACTGTAATAAAACTAAAGTGACCGAGAGCAAATCAAACTCAAGCCCCTGATTGCAACCTTGAACAACACTGGATTTAAAAATCCTATTGTGTAAAAAAAATAAAAAAATAAAATAAAGAAGAAGAGAAAAAACATAGACAAGAAAAAATTAGTTACTCTTAGTACGCACGTTCTATTCTTGCAGAAACTCTGCACTTTGTACCATCTCTACATACCCATAGATCTCCAAAGGGATAATCAGTGTATAGCAGTAGATTCCAGGATTGCTTTGGTGATTTCTCCTGCTGCTAATGGAACACCAACAAGGGCTGCGTCAGTGGGAGGCCCCATATGGGCCTTCTTATCCGTCTTCTCTTCGGGACTTTCGTTGTCGCTTGAAAGAGGCACGGTCTTGACCTGCTCATCCAAATGACAACAAATCATTGGAACTTGTACGAAGCCATTAGATTTTTCATCAAAAAATTTGAAACAATGAAGAAGCTGTAAGTTGGGCAGGGAGACTTGCGTACCAGTTCACGGTATTTCAGAGTGTAAAACATCTCCAAGTATCGCTTGGATTCGCGTCTCTGCAAATTGGAGACATATTTCCAGAAACCGTACACATGAGTGAGTGTCATCAAGCGCTCAGCGTAGAGTTTCCAAGTGAAGCTGCACAGGTCCACACCGACGAAACGAAAGAAGTCATCAGAAACTATATCAATACCACTTGAAAGGCATTGACGTAAAGGGTTAAGCAAGTGGCCAGCGCACTGACTTAGAATATATGCGTTGCAGAGCAGCCTCAGAGATTCGGGTCCACACTCCAGGGTCCGTTTTTACTTTCTCGAAGAAAGAGACGAGCACTTCAGCTACTCCTTCGGGATGGTAAGGATCAATGTGGAATCCTGAGATGCCATTCACAATGATCTCGGCAGGACCGCCGTGCATTGTCGCAAACGTGGGAAGGCCACACGTCATAGCCTCTACCACTGTGAGACCAAAACCCTCGTAGAGCGCAGGTTGCACAAAAACACCGCCCGCATCTGCGATATAGCGATAAAGCTCTCCATTCTGCACACGGTTGGTCTGTGATCGGATCCATCTGAAGTGGTTGTGCAAGTTGTACTGTTTGATGAAGCTGTGCATTTTTTCGATCTCTTTCACTTCTTCTCGGTCTTTCGACTTCGCAGGGTCGATTTCACCTCCAACTATCACTAGGTTAGTCATTTCCCGGAGTTTCTCGTTTTTCCCATACAGCTCCACCAGGCCTGTCAAATTTTTCACCCTGTCGAGGCGTGCCATTGTGAAAAGAATAGGCTTGTCCTTGTCGATGATGCCCCTGCATGCCGTTCACCATATACAACATGTTACTCTACATCTTATCTAATTTCAAGCAGAAGATATAAATTATGAGAACTCAATTCTTCCTCATGGTTTAGGGTTGCGTAACTTACACATGCTCATCTGTCTGGTCAGAACTGAACAGAAGTTTCTCAATTGCGGGGTGCAATTTTGTCAAGCGATGCTGCTTGTCTGTGAAGGGGTAGTAAACAGTCATGTCAGCTCCAGGAGACACAATGTTGAACTTAGGGTCGAAGACGTCGATGCCGTTCACAACTCGGTAGAGGCTAGGCATCGTGAACGCCTGATGGCTCTCATATTGTCCAACAGTCTTTGCGCTACCAGCAATCTCTTGGTACGTGCTGGTGATGATGAAGTCGGCGTGATTCATTGCAATTAAGTCAGCAGTAAACTGGCATGAAAAGTGGTATTTCTCCTCAAAATTCTTCCAATAAATGTCGGAGTCTGGATACTTTGTCTTCTCCAAAGCGTGTGCAATAGTGCACTGCAAGTAAACCAGTGTAAAGTCGCATCATGGAGAATCCTGCAACTGGAAATCTAAATCAAAGAAATATTAATTCTTTTCATGAACAGCTGACAAACCTGTGTCACTCCAAGGTGCTGACATAGTAAAGTGGCCACGAGATTGCCGTCGGTGTAGTTTCCAATAATTAGGTCAGGTGGCCCTGAGAGATCGGCACATATCTCACTTGCTGCCTCCTGTACAGAAACGGATCTTTATTCGCATCAGACTAACAATAGGTTAGAGATTCATTGTCATAAAGAGAGTGAGATGATACTAAAATTTACACATAACGTGTAAGTGCGAAGGAAATTTATGCCGACCTGCGCGTAGGTCTCCAAATAGGGGTAAACATCGAACCGAGAAATCCAATTCTTCAATATTTGTCCATCGTTACGGAAGGGAATACGTAGAATATGCGAAAACCGACTGCCATGAACCTTCTCAATTCGCTGGTTGCAGGTCGTTCCAAAAGCATTTGGGATGAGGCGTGTCAGCTGCCAAAATGCCAAGCGAAAAACAGCTCCTCAGTTAGTAATATAGACGAACAACACGATTGTGAGTTGAAATGTAAGAGATAATCAGAGGCACAGGCAACACGTTCCTAAAAATAGATGCAATCAGGGTTGCAGGGTTTAATGTCAAAAGAGCAGGTCTTACAATGACGATCTTCGGTACAATGTCGAGCCCTTGCAGCTGCAAATTCTCAAGCATCTCGTTCTCCAATGCTCTCACTTGGTCTAAGATGTAAACCACTTGGCCACCGGTATCCGGCAAGCCGAGGACGCCATCTTGACCAAAGTACCCGTGCGGTGTAACAATGACGACACTGAAGACCATAGGAATGCGGGCAAGAAACTTCTCCAAAGTATCCGGGTCGGGTGCTTGAAGTAGATCTTCCAGCAGTTTGATTGTCTCCACAACACGGCCTGCCGTGTTTCCCCATCCTTTTTCCAACCCTAGCTCCTGCAACCTGCACGAGCAAATGACAACAGCGAGCTCTAAGTAGCGTACCACAAGTTGTCTTCAGTGATGAGATATTCGGGAGAGCTCACTTAAAGGACCTGCAACAAATGATTGGCAGAAATACGCACTTGTGTGCGAAGTCGGTAAAAGGAGTATCCTCTGGAAGTTTGCTCAGTATATCATCCGCTTTGACCAATTGCGGACGAAGTCTTCGCAAGCTCGTGATTCGGTCATTGAGCATCAACGTCTGCATGGATCACCATATTCTCATGGTTAAAACTAGAACGCAGAACCTATTGAAAATGCTGAAGTTTAAGTACACATCTACAAATCTTCGTAGCCTTTTCAGAAGACGACGCCGTATCGTTACAGCATATTTGAGCCTAATAGTGAAAGTAAAATGGATGTACTTGTCCACGGTAAGTGTGCATTCGGAGAAATTGAAACAACGGTTCGATGCCATCAGCGGTTTGAAACAGCTTCAAAGATAGGTGTCGGTTCAAGAATTCGACACCGTGACCAATTGAGGACGGCCTTGTCATGCGAGGAAAATTGGAGTTGAAAGGTGCCATGTCCAGCTCCAGCAAGAATGGATCTCGCACACTTCACAGCACTTTGTCAGCGTTCTTTTTCAATTATCGAGTTCTAATTCCAAAAAGATGGAAATCGTAAGAACGAAAAAATTAGAATGGGGGACATAGGAAACATACTCGGTGCTATTGGCGAGCTGTTCTTTAAATCCCAGATACTCCGAAACAGAGAGCTCCTCCAGAATCAGCTCCTCCACATTGATGCGTAGGTACTCCCAGATTCCAGGCCTTGGACGCACCGCTAATCCAAGCCAAGGTGGCAGCACTATCGCTTCCTATATTGCGTGCAATCATCCACGTTAGGCCGATCAAGAAACCGTCCGTCAATGCAAGTCGACTACAACATCATGATCTAGTTGGGATACCTGACAATTGAGTAGAAGCAATCCGAATGCGCTGTCCTTGATCTCGGTGACCCTGTCCGCTTCGGTGAGGCTGTTGAGCTCATCAACAATGTGATGCGGTTGCAGATGAGTACGCCCCTGTTTGACGTATCTGGGACAAGAATCCTGACAACCGTAAGCTTGCAATTTCTAAGTCATGAAATAAATGGCTTATATAGTGAGTAATTGAACAGGGGATGAGCGAGATTGACAAGTACCGGGAGAGAAGGTCTATGATGACGTTCCGGTGCTCTTGCACCGCACTTTGCACTCGTTCCTGAATACTGTTCAAGCGTTGTAAGACGGGCTTCTTTGGTGCCACTCCGTTTGCCGCCATTGCGTTTCCTTCGACACAAACCTGCGAAATTTATTTGCAAACGTAGGTGTTCTTAGACGCTGGCCATATCAGTTCGCGAAGCATGCTAAATACAAAATCCTTCTCTTCGTTAAGGGCAGGAATCGACTCAGACTACAGAGGGAGTGCAACTATCTTCTGCTACACAACAGTAACATGTCAAGCGTGGTACTTTCGCGTCACAGGATAATCACAATCGGGAGGTAAAGATTCTCGAGAGTGCGTTATCTCTCGTTTCAATTGTAGAAAACTGAACTTGATTTTTGAGCACTTATACTGGAACCCTTCAACTCTGCAGATCACAATGACCATCACTACATTTTCATAAGCTCGAATTATCTCGATATAGACTGCTCTCGTTATGAATCAACAGCAATCGCATGCGGCACTAAAAAGATAGGCACACAATTTACAACTTGTGCGAAATATCCTGTGATCGACTCAGCCAACACTTGCACCAAACAACCAGCCTCTATCTAATAATACTCGATCGTCTTCAGGGGTGAGGTGATCTAATAATATTCAAAGACTAACACACTAAGAATCAATCGCAGATCAATCGCATGCTCATCTTTTCTCAGGTTCCAGTTGACATTCATTCGGTTTAACCCGCCGAATGTATTCAGAAAATTGCATTAATCACCTAAACTCTGCGTCGTCAATGCAGACGCAGACAGTATTGCGTTTTAGGAAATTAATACATTCTCTCATCTATTTGAATTTTTCACATTTAGATTTAGCAGCTCTCTAGCAGAATACTAAAAAGTTGTCTGTGTCCAAAGCAACTTACAGTGAGATTGGCAGGAATTGTGATGCCCGTCAGCAAGCGAGCATCGAAGTCGATCACAGCATGAGATGATCGATTCAAAGTGACCAATGAGGACTCTGCGCTTAGAATCTGCAGCAAAAGTCACGATGCAAGCGAGTGGCAGGCGGCTATTAGTACTCGGGAGATGGTGCTGTGGTGTTGGGTGTCCACGCGACGGATATTCCATTAATTCCCGTTTTTCCAGTTTTGTCTTGAATTCTTCATTGCATGCATGGCATGGCAGTCATAGTGGTGGTTTGTGAGCGGGACAGCTCAACCCTAATGTCAATAAAAAAACAATATTGCTGACTAGACTGATCCAGTGAGCGCACATTCCACAGTAAAACTTTGTCTGGTTCACACCCATAACTCGAATATCGATTCATCGCCTCTCCAACTTGCCGGCTTCTGTGAATTGAGCAGTGAGAATTCGAGAAAATATCGAAGTTCACCTTGGCCTGGCGACCTACACTTGTAAGCTCCCATCTAGATCCTTGACCGAGTTCTGGATGCGTTGCAAAAGTCTATGAAGCTAGTGAGAGACGATCGGGAAATCTTAGCTTTGGGAGACCTCTTCACCCATCCGCGCGTGAACTTTGGCCAAATGGTTCCGTGCAGCTGATAAAATTTTGATAAAATTATAAGCCCACACTGCAATTATGAAGCTGACTCATGGATTGAAATTTTCGGATTGGAGGCATGAGCGGAGTTCAGTTTCTGATGCAGATTTCGTGAAAAACATGTGCAGGTGATTCTTTCGATCTGCGTTCACTGCCTCAATGTTCCTGTTTCCAGTCTCTGCAGTCGTGGAATTTGATTCGTGCACATTCCGAGTGTTATGCAGTTAATCCATCGAAATTTTTCAGCAACGATTGAATGAGTCAGCATTAAGGGTATATGGATACCATTATACTTGTAAGTCACAATATTCGAAACTGCTGAAGACCAAGGATGATCGACATAGACATTGCCAAAGCGAGCAAATATCAAAACCTCATGAATCTCTGAGTTGCTGCTACCAGTTCAAATCAAATGCATTTCCAGAGCCATCATTAGACGAGGTCACTCGAAGTGAAGGAAGAATGTACGTGGAATAATCAATAGCTTCGGTTAGATTCCGTTTAAGTGGACACAACATGTAAGTTCATGTTTTAAATGATTTGCTGATATTCTGATAGCTACTCTGTTGGAAATACTGATGTTAGGACCTTAGAAACTCCACCTCAGAGCACATCCGATTCCAATTTCAAGGTACAGACAGCTTTGTCCTATTATCTCTTCCGGTAGTTCGGGCCGGAGCTTCATGCGCATCAATTACATTCCCAAAAGATTCCAACAGTGCGGTGATCGAAACCCTCGGTGTATGGTTCGAAGCAAACCGTTTGGGATTTGAGTGCTTGAGCGACGGTGCAGCGGTTCTGCAATTGGGGCAATCATAGAAGACTCTTCAACGTGATTGTGCATCTCACGACAACATTTAAGGAATCTATTTCACATGTCCGAGGTGCTTCTTCGCCGGTCAGCATTGTATGGGATTTTTCACCAACAAAGTGCACAAGCCGGCCGTTGATATGAGCACCATAGAGGTGGAGAGCACCAATTTTGTGCAAGCCTAGATCGCGGATCCAATCACACTAAAAGAAAGTTGTTGATCGCTGTCGATTACCTAGACCAAAGTTTCTTCTTTCATGTTCAAGTAGGAGGGCGGTGGCGTTCTTCTCCTCGAAAACTTCACAATCATTGTGGAAGTTTCTTAGCACCGAGCTAAAAACTAGCTCAATGCTTGCGTTTTGTTCAAACCAACTAGTTGAATCTTTTGAAATGCTGGTGGAGCCAAGCACTTGTCCTTCTTATCCATGTAGATCGAGAAATGAGAGTCATCTGAGACATTCCGAAGAATCTCTGAAGCATCTAGAATACATACTTCATGGAGTCCATGAAAATGAGGTCAAATTCAGCCAGTAATGTGCACGCACTCTTGTGACCACTTGTTTTCTATGTTCTTCAAATTCGAGCTGTTTCCTATCTTGTAAGCCAATTGTTTTCCCTAGGGTCTGAGTTGTAATATTACAGTATTTCACTCCAACTTTCGGAGCGTAGCTGTACGTACGCATACACGTACGCTCTCAAATTCTGAAAGCTTCGGATAAATGCAGTCGGCCTTTTTCGACTAACTGACACCGTCAAAGCAACTCATGTTCTAATAGATCAATCGAACACACTCACAGCATACAACGCAGGGTATGGAAACCAGGTCATCAACGTCATGAACAGTTCCACAATCTGCACCAAGCCTCCTTCAATACGGTGGCCGTGCAGAACAGCAAGCTTTGATCGACATTTCCAACTTTTAATGCGCATCACATGAAACTTACTCTCAAAAGAATCGACATCACGTAGTTGTACCTTAGAATACACGCTTCGTGGACGTCTCAGCAAGATCTGTTTTCACCACATCATAAATAGCTGTCAATAGGTTCTTCTACAGGGAGAACCGAATGGACTCACTCGACACACCGTAATCCCTGTGTGATTACAGACCTTGACTCTCTGGAATGAAGTCACAGAGGTTGTGAATTGTAACCTTAATTACCGTCGAGGGGAATTGCCGCAGGGGAGCGATTCGACATGGCGGAAACCTGGAGACAACTCGACCTCACTGTTAGCAGCAGTGGCTGCCGGCAAAGAAATTTGTGATGTGGTAAATTCGGCAATCGTCTCATGAAAAGCACAACCCTAATGCAGTTTGTGGGCCTTGAAGCCTTAGTATGCCTTTCTTGTTGAATGTCTACACCAATTTGTTGCATGAATAGTGTGTTTTCTATATTATTTTTTAGATATTTTTTTACACATTTTAGGTTGGATTAATTGTTCTAACATATTTTTATGTATATTTAAGTTTATTTTTATTAGTAGAATTTATATATTTTTTATATTAAATTTTTGTAAGAATTAATATGTGCAACAACTTTTGTAGAAATGTAGCTCCAAAAAACACACAATAGGATCATGGAATTTTAATTTTTATTAGTAGTATTATTTGCAGTATCAATAATATATATAATGCATAAATCTATTATTAAAATTCAAGCCAAAATAAATACAATTATTATTTTAACTTATTTAGTAGCAAATATTTTTAATTAAAAACACTAAAAGAAATATTAAGATAAAAAATTCTACTTTTCTTGATTGATTATGCTTCCATAAACTTATAAATTAGTAATGAATTGATCATTTTAACTTATGATATAGAATATTTTAAAGAATAATAATGTTTAAATTTTAAATTATATACTTAATAAGTTATTAATATAAAATATTATAATTATAAAAGAAATCTTTGTATGTATGTATATATATATATATATTAAAAATTTGTATTATCTTTTTTATTTTAATTTATTAAAAAACTAAAGTAAATTTATTATTTCATATTAATTTTTTTTTGTTTGCACAAATATCTCTTTGTTTAAATAAGATGTGGATATTTTTCATAAATACACATAGATAATTTTATAATATATATATATATATATATATATATATATATATATATATATATATATATATATATATATATATATATATATTTTTGTAAATTTAAAAAATACTATATAAAGAATCATGTCATATAGCAATTTCTTGAATAAAATTATTAGTATAGTTATATTAAATTTAGTCTTCATATGAACATAAAAATTTAAAATAGATATTTTTTAAAAAAACTCAATTTTAAAATTAGTATCTTTTAAAAGTAAAATTTTAATTTTGAATACAAGTTTATAAACCAAGTTAACAATTAAAAAAATCTTAATACTTATTTATCTAAGTTTTAGACTTTGTTGTTTTATGAAGTAATATTATTTATTTTTTTAAAATTTTTAATTCATTATATTTCTATTTATTATATATATATGTTTATTTTTATGTATTTTTATATTATTAATAATTTTATAAAATATATGAATATAATATTTTTTTAGATTTGATTAATAAAATTATTACACATCAATGATTTAGATTTAAAATTTTTAATGTTTAGATTTATTTTTTTGCAATTTTATAGTATTCAATCAAATTATCTTGATAAATTATATCTAATACAAAAATCTAGTTTATTTTTAAGTTATATAATTTATATTATATTATTTATTTTAAAAATATAAAATACTTATTTAAAAAATTATTTTTTAGTTTTTAAATCATAATATTAAGGACATAAAATCCAAACTATTAAAAAATTAATACAGTCTTGTATCATTCAAAAAGACTAGATATTTATTCAAAACAAATATAGTATTGAAATTAGAATAGCTATTGCAAAAAATTAGAAGATTAAAAAATCTTAAAACAAGACTTAGAATTAGAAAGGCATTGGTAAGACTGAAAAAGGCTTCACTCTTGCCTCCATATATACTATCTAACTAAGAACTACATAGTGACATTATAAAGAATCTCTAACATGTGTTCAATTTGTAAAATATGTGACTTAACTTGTAAGACAAGTTTTCTATATGTGTGTCATATAAAAAGCTTGTAATATAAGCTATCAACATGTGAAATATGTAGCTAAAACTTATTGGCTAAGTGTTCAATTTATTAATCACCTACAGACACAAATAAAGGTAAAATAGAACATATGAAGCTTTTTTATAAGATATTATCAAAATAATCTATTTTTACCTACTTCTACCTAATTTTATTATATAGATAATTATTGAAGTAAATATGTAAGTCTATAACATTACTCCTCTTACTAAAAATAAGTTTTACAAGAAGCAATCATCACATATTAATGAAGTCTAAGATGTGATTAACTATATTTGGTACATACTTTTATCTTTGTTTCTTTTGAAGGTAGTTGATAGGTCCTCTTAGCCAATGATAATGTTTCATTCTATGATGAGAAGACCACCATGTTATTTGATCATTGTTGAAGTCTTTATAACTTTTTTGAAACAAAATATTTGGAATACCATCAAGAATTATTTCTACTTTGAGTAAAATCACCAAACATTAGAAGTCTCTTCTAAAATCATGATATCAAATGAATTGCATCTCACTATCTATCTATTTTTTTTTTTTTTTTTTAAAAAAAAAATCTTGATGATCTTCATTTCTATTATATTGTCTT